CTAGAGATAACCCAAATTTTGTTATTAGATGGTCCAATACAAAACAATTAGTAGTTCTTCCGCTCCTGAAGCCTGTCTGTTCTTCAGCTAGAATGTTATCTCTCTTTATCTAACCTTCTAATTTATGAAGCAAATACTTAGCATAATTTTTTGCTGAAATTTTGATTAGACTAATTAACTGGAAATAATTTGGGTTATCTCTAGAGCCTTTTTTATGTAGTGGAATAAAATTGATGTGTGCAAACTAGCAGGAATTTGCCCTGTACTATTAATAAAAGTAAAGAGACCTTCAAGGACAGGCTCCCACCAGGTTATATTTTCTTTAAATAATGATGCCAGGAGCGCATCCTGTTCTGGAGCTTTGTTTGACTTCAGGGAAGAGATTAAACGCCTCACCTCCATGATTGACACTTCTGCCCACTGGGGTAATTCTTCATATTCCTGTTTCAGGCTCAGATAAGTTGTCACATCATCAGAACTTTCCGCTACTGCTGGAGTGGCCAAATGCCTCTCCTAACTTTCTGCAGTAATATTTGAGTCACTTATTGATTTTCTATCTTTAATAATTTTTGAGACCCCCAATCAGAAGTGTGTGGGTAAGGCCAGCTTTGCTGCCTCTTCTAAGCCAGCCAGAGTCCAAGCATATTTCGTTTCCCTTCCATCCTAATTTGGCTTTTACCAAAATGCACAACCCTCCTGAGGCTCTTCCCTTTACAGCTACCCTCTTTGCTGGTATCTGCCAAATATTAAACCCAGGGAGCTCAATAGGAGCCTCATCACCATTAACCCAAGTCTCCTGCAAGGCAATTACCTGATATTAGAAATTTAATACAGTCATCCATACACCAACTCCCTTTCCATCCTGCCACATTCCATGAGAGGAAGTGTATTCTTAAAGAAGGTGATTGTACGCTATTTCCTAGTCAGGGTTCTTGAGTAATCTCTTCCACCCATCCTTCCCCATTTGCGCTCCCACACCCATTTAATCGCCTGCACTCCATAAAAGTCTGTTTAGGTGTCATTTGTCTGCCTGTTGCTTTCTGGCTTGCAGATCTGTAAACTCTATTAATCTCTGCCTCCACCACAAATGATTTCACTTGAGGCACCACTCTTACATCGTTCCTTGGTATCATTTTTGGTACTAAGGGGGACTGGGAAATTCCTTCCTGGATACCTTCCAACTCTGGTATTTGTACCACAGCACTTTGCACTGTTAGGTCAGCTGTCTCTGGCACTATATACTGTATAAACGCGTGCATCAGGTTTCCTGGGCTTTTAAGCAGCTGACTCTCTGGGATTGTATCATGCGTTGAAGGGGACAGAACAAATGACCCCAAAGGAGCAGCGGAGGAGATAGTCTGCTTCAGCAGCTTTCTCATCTCTTTGAGTTTTTAAAGACTTCTTGCTGCTCTGATATTGAAAGTAGAGAAAAAGTTTCTAAGCAAGCAGTGTCG